GCAAGTAAAGTCATCTTCATTACGAATTTGATTCTCTGTGCTCATTCCATCTTCACTCCAATGGATACTACTGTTCTGTCGAAATTTACATCTCTACTAGAAGGAATTCCGCCCTTCTACTCCAGCTGTTCGAGTCAATTACCGTTCCCTAATTCCTCCTCGTCACATTCGTACTGATCCTTCACGTCGTTCTACTCATATTCGGACGCCTCAAGAACTTCTCTCCGAATTTATGAAGAACACTCACCACCCTTTGGATCAAGTAACCGGATTTGGCAAGGATTCGACACCATCATCAACGGAATCTCTCTCGAACCAGATCGCAGAATCCCTTCTCAATGTAAAGCACTTCAAGCACACGTTCAGTACTACCCATTTGGATACACGAGATCACGCTATGATAGATGCCTTTTCTCGTCACCCTGTCTACTATTCATTTCGTGATTATATGGCAGACGACACCTACTTGCCGACGCAAAAGGAACTCGACTATCCGCACATCAAGGAATTTTCCATCGCCTCAATTATTGAAGCGTACAAGGCACTCCACACCGTCAACAACAAGACGAAGTCCTTTGTGGAAGACCTTTCTAAGCATCCGGACTATTGGAAGTCAGAGGAAAAGCTCGTTCAGTTGCACGATCAATATCTCACGTTGCTCTACAACATCCAGAAGTGCAAAGCTACTCTGACAGATCTCATTTTCCCGTATATCCTCAATTCCATCGAGGACAATCGACTACTTGTTGATACATTGTACTCTTACAATGCATCTTTACCGGAATTCAGACTCGCCTGTGCAACGGCAACCGCGGAAACAGCTAACGGATTCAGGAACATCAAGAAGATCAGTTCAGCTATTGCTCGTCTTCATGGCTCAACGCTCCCACGACTACTACCATCTGAAGTTTTGGACCTCGAAGATATCCCCACCATGGCTGAATACTATTCCGCTATGTCAACTAATCCGTCATCTTCAGTTGCTATTGCACAGCCACCTCGATCTATGCCAGCTACCACCGGACAAGACGTTTCGCCGCAGGAGATATACGTTTCACTCAAGCCGTCAACTAATGCACCTAAACCATCTACGGATAGTGGACCAGCTCGTATTGTAACCAGACACCCCTCTCGTCGTTCTCACTCACCGCAACCACATGAGCGCTCACGACGTACACCATCACGAAGTCCTGAAAGGAAGCAAGTGCGCCTCACAGAAGATCAACCATCAGTCACTTGCCTCTTTTGTCGCGCTCATCACTATACCTCAGGCTGTACCATCACTAGCCTCAGCGAACGAGCGACAAGAGCAGTATCTGAAGGAAAATGTCTTCGCTGCCTCCATGTTCATGCTCCAGGATACTGTCGCAGCAACAAGAAGTGCCGCGTATGCAACGCTAACGACCATCATACGGCACTCTGTCCGTACAGTTATCACGTTGTCAGGGACATTGGTCCCAGCAGTAAAGCATTTTTCGACAAGATGTATGACAAGTACGAGAGCCACTACGCCCGTCGTACGAAGCATTAGTTGGCTACCGCATCGTCTCATTCATGTACACTTTACAACTTCCTGTACTGACCTTCTCGTTTTGGGGATCGGGCAACGAAAATCTTATACCCCATACAGCGTTGAGAGATCGCTGTTTGCCAAAATTCACACTTTTGACTTGGGAACTTTTGACCCCCCTTCAATTGACCTTAGCGAGGCTCACCATCTCTCCCTCGCACCTTTCGAAGACCCATAGCGTGAATTCGCGCTGCTTAGGTAAATTTCTTTTCACATCAACGTCAAGCAGTTCGTCTTCAAGCTATCCGTCAGTCAATTGTGTGGTCAATGGTTCACAGTCCAAGTTCAACTTCAACTTCGCGTTCAAGTTCAACTTCGACTTCAATCGTCAATCGTGTTCAATCAGCCTTCGATTCAACGTCAACGTCAATTCAGTCAGTTGTAAAAAGATCAAGTGTACTCGCTTTATATTGTATTTAATTTTGTATTTGTTTTCCCATTTACTATGTATCTTACTCATTTACATTCGAAGTTTTACACATTTATTCATTCCAATTTAGTAGGTACCCCTGTGTATGTATGTCACCCTCTTGGTTAGCATCAGCACTCCTCTTGCCGTCGCCATCAACATCTTTTCACACACTCCCCTTATGTCACGGCGCATCTCTTTGTGCGCCCGGAGTGTCGTGACTTGCGTACGACCTGGAAGCGTCCGTGGTATGCGCCGTAACAATATCATGCTCCATTCGTCATCGTACCGTATCCAGCAATTCAAACGATGCTGCCGACAGCTCAAACGATGGAAGAAGCTGGAAGCGCGGGAAGCTACTCTGCTTCTCTATACTCAGCCCGCGCGACCCGCCAGTCCTCAGTTGTTTCGTCATGTCTTCCTGCTGAGCGGCTGGACTCTCCATCGTCTCATCCCGGCGAAGGGCGCCGCTTGATCTACCACGTCGCATATTTCTACGTGTATGTTGTGCTGTTCTAATCATGCCTTAACCTTCTCCATATTGCTCTCATCTATTTGGTAGTCATGTAATAGTCATTTATTCTATTGCGTAATAGTATAGTCAATATGAATAGTTATTCAATAGTCTTCTGTCATGTAGCAATAGTCGGCACAACTATCGGTTACATACATTTTATTAGGCTTCTAACTCTATCACAGTAGTCATGGTAAGCGATATAGGTTGGGGTTAGCACGTAACATGCCCGTGGCGGGCGGTCAGGTCATCTGTCCCTTTGTTTTTTGTGTTTCTTCTGAGCATTCCATCCGCGCGACACAACCCCACAAAAGGGTGTGGGCCCTTCCAATACCCACGTTCTGCGTGGTCGGGTATGGTAACCCGCCGATGCATCACATCTCCTAACACGCCGTCACGACAACAACCACTCGCGTCAATGGTAGAAAGGCTGCGAGAGGGTGTACAGCTACACCCGAGCCCTTCTAACAACGACATTTCCGACAGCCACTCGCCCCTAACCATCCTACCCACTGCTCAAGCAATGCAAGGAATTCAATTTCAACACTGGAAACATGCCCCGCACTGCATGTCTTGTTCAGTTCAATGACGGGGCTGCTGAAGCAGGGTATCCTTGAAGATCAGCGCAAGATAAGTGTCAGTGAATACAGCATGTATCTATAGCACCACTAATGTAAGACAGAGCTTATATTGAAACGTTCGAAGGTCGGTCATGTGTGCTAAGCATGCAGGCTTTCCTAACCGAGGTCAACGGAACGTCCGGTGTGATGCATGCCTTATAAAAATGAAATTGCCACTTTGAATGGCTCAATGCTTTCCGAAGCCGTATTCAAAATATCTTTTCTTCACCATACGCTAAAAATAAATTCTTCGAGGGGGCAGTTTTCTGCGGCCATGGTATTTGTTGCAATGCAAAAAGTTTGCGTCAAAAATGGCATTTACTGCAAGCGACAGCCCTTTTGCGATGTTCGATAAATTATCTCTGAATCAACAGCAATAAGAAGTAAGTGCATATTCAATAATACAAGGGACTCCATTGTCGCATTGGTATGAAAAAGCAAAAAAAAAAAGAAAGCGTTGGCAAAACATTTTGTTATCACACAAAATTTCACATTAGAAAAAACGCCATGAAGAGGGCTAAACCGATAGGTCAGAAACACAAGTAGGTAATCATATCTTCTAGAATGATGAGCAATCACAATAATTACCTGGAGATTCATGTATACTACTTTTCCCGGATGCGTTTTGCCGAATGAGATGCGGTCCGGAATTGATGTTAAACTGCCTTGTCAACTAAGACCTTGAGTTCAGTGAGTAGCTGTTGAAACTTATGGTTTTCAAAACTACAAAAGTGTATCAATTCAAAACTGAACTTTTGTATGAAGTACAAGTTCTGAAAAGCTAACTGTGCCTTATGAGCTCACCTCGTACTTAATAGGAAAAACCTTGCTTTCGAATTCTGTTGCAATCACCATTTGTGAGGGATGGAACGGCTCATCTAACGCCAGCCTCAGTTCAAAATCGAAAAATGCTGCACTGTGCGGTGGAATTTCCAAATCCGCACCAGCCCCGCGCGGCCCCCGGCGCCGGCCGGGGCCGGACCGCCCGCCCCTGAAAAGACTGAGGCCTCTGCTCTCCTTACTTCATCGTGTATTCATCGGTATTGCAAACAAGACTGATTGGTCACATGTGAATATGGCATTCTGTGAAGGACGTGCTCGTGAGACACTGAGCACGCCTCATCAGAAGGCATATTCGCAGAAAAAAAAAGTTTGCGAAAGCGCTGCTCATGGAGGATATCGGCTCAGTCGGTAGATATGCTTCAGCTGCATTCATACTTTGGCAGCGGCATCCACCAGCGTCGCACTACGTCGGGAAAGGGAAGTATGGCTGGCGATAGAGGGTTAGCAGACAACTGGTAAGAGATATGGGAAGATAGGCTGGTAGCAGACAGCTGGTAGAGTATAGGGGGAAAGGACGATGTATGGCGCAATAGGAGAGTACCCGTTGTCTGCTGCCATACTCTCCTCCCTCGGCGGTGTAGAACATTGTGGTGCACGCTGGAAGACGCTAGATCAATACCTATACTTCTCAGGCCCTCGAGACGCTGGTGGACGCTGGTATACGCTGGCAGACGCCAGATCGATTCTGTACTTCCCCAGTCGCTGAGCGCCGGCGCTCGAAAAGCTCGTGAGTCACTGCGCAAAGTAGAATGCAGCCTAACTGAACACGAGGTCTCACTGCAGACACAAGACTAGCAGAGACTGTAACCACATTTCAGGCCCATACTCGTTCTCGGTTCTTAGGAAGTGTGCGCCTGCCCTTTCTGATTACAAGCTGTATCCTTACCAATGATGCATCATAATGCTTCAAAAAAATGAATCTTTCGTGAGCCTTGCCCAGTTGGCTGCGACTAGCACGGAAGAGATGAATGAAGTAGTAAATTCAGCTGTCATTTAGCAGCTTCAAGCACTCTACTGTGCCTTCCTCACTGACTGTCAGCAGGGTTACCCATGTCCCCCGTATTTTTGCCAAGGTATTGAGACAAGTCGAGGCCTGTGTATCGAGGGACGAGGAACGGAAAGACCTCGAACTGTCATCACAGCATGGTTCTTGTTACGTATGACGAACTGTAAAAGGGAGAAGATTTGGAAGTTTCAAGTCGAAGTGTCAACTCTTCCAAAATATATCCTTACCCATCGACACAGTAAAAAATTATAATTTAAACCAAAACAAAATATAATTGACTATTGCACTGAAAAGAACTGAAAACAAAGTATAAGCTTCGTTCATACTTTGCGTCAGCTCGCGTTCGCTAGACCGATATCTACACTTTCCTAACCGCCTGAGGCTGTGTAAGCTCGAAACGCTGACCTAAAGCAGCGGTAACGGCGTACGCTGACGCATGAACGTAGCCTTTCTGAGTCAGCAATCTTTTCCAGAGAATGTAATGAAAGTCATTCTAACTTACTCTAATAGTTCGGGTGTCGTTCCTTTCCAGCAGTCCGAAATCGAAGGATTCCTGATCGACAGAGAACAGCTCAACCTAAAAAATTGCAAAAGTTAAATGGGTATTTGATCAAGAAGAACTCATCAAATCAGGAAAAAAGTCATACAAAAATAAAAAAAGAAGTGAATCAACCAACTTGAATTCTACCGGAATACTTCCACAACTGTATTCTATAGGTCGAAATATTTGTGTGCACATATAGAACAGTTTGCCCAAATGTATCGGGAACCTTTTTATTGTACTTGAGGAGAAACACCGGCTGTTCCTCATTCACTCCAATCACGACTGTTTTGTTGAATAGGCGAACCTTCAAAGAATATATTTCATTGCAGCCGGACACCGGGGGTTAACGTTCAGTGGAATCAATTGCTTTTGAAACTCAGTGCGCACTTCAAAGGCTATCAACATCACTTTCCTAAACTACCCATCTTCTATGTCACGTTAGCATCGGATATGCCCTTGCGTTCAGATGACACATCAAGTTTCATCAGAGCACCTGGCCTTTGATTTATAATTAAAATACTTAATTAATCGAAATTAAGTCCAATATTTGACTCAGGGTAATCTCTGCAACCCACTCGACGCTACGCGTCGCTGTTTGTTACCTCAAAATTCACGGGTATTCAATGCGTGCTACATCTCAAGAAAAGATTAATCACCATAGAAATCAGTTTTTTAGTTTGCAGCAGGGTCAAATATTGGACTTAATTTCGCGGTCTACAGATAGGGACCAGTGAACGTCTCCCCAGACTAGCAGCTAAAATTTTCCTATATGTTCTTTCATATAGTTATTGCTCTAGAAATGTTAACATCTACTCGAAAGAACTGATGCCATTGCTCCTATAGCTCGAAAACCCAATGATGAGGACAACCCTAGCTACCCCAGCGCTACCTTACTGAGAACTCTCGTGGAGTATGCCTGCCCTGGATATAGGTACCCATGAAACTTGAGAGCTTCGATGCGGCGATTAACATGATTAATGGTGGCACTGGTTTTGACGTGTAAGATTCACATACACTTTTTCACTGGCGATTTACGAGTATCTATTGAATGTCAGAAACAGAAGATATCAAGTGTGCATAAGCAGAAACTAATCCTTACCGTAAAATACTGGCTCGCATCCGGTGAAATTGATTATATTCAGATGATCCAACGGGACAAACGGTAGAGCATTTTGCAAACGAATCACTACGCTTATCCGCCACGCGAGCTTTGAGTAATCTTCTTGCAAGGCAAGGTCATTACCGACCGAAACGATATCTCTGAAATTTGTGGCAATTCAAAAAAGTGTAACTTACAAAAGGAAGAAGAAGGAAGGTCGTGGCGGTCGCTTTGAAGCATACAAGCGCCACTATAGTGAGTTTCACATCATGTGTGAAAGACATAGGGGATCGGCTACCTTTCCGCTGTGGAGGGGTGAGGGCAGGGGTTGTTGGGAGAGGCGGGTTAGTCGTATGTGGCTTTGAGACAAGTTGCCGCGTTGGGGAAAATTTGCCCTGGATTCCTCGCGTCATTGTTCCTGTTTCATAGGTAACCCCCCCCCCTGCTCGACAGCGCGAGGCAACATGGTGTGCCGGAAAAGTAGCAGGAATAATTTTGCGTGAAAATTCCAGAAAAAGTGTGGTAGGAACGTCGTGTGGCGAAATCTGGAAAATATTTCCCGCATCCACAATTGGGCTATATACGCCTAAAGCCACAGGCTACAGGCCATCAGCGGGGGGGGGGCAATCTTCCCCCCCCGCTCGACGGCAAATTTTTGCACGTGAAAAAATACTGCGACTGCAGAAATTGCGGGAAATTCGGAAGGTAATGTGTTAGCGGCAAGGGCATGGGGTCCTCCCTCAGGGTGGGGGGGGATTGTACCAAACCAGTCCCTCGACAGGGGAGGTCGTACCGACACCAACATTTCACACAGTACGATGCTGTACCACTGGCCTAAGCCATTACCAGAACACAAAAGGCTTTCACGGAAGAATTCGGTAACCGACCACCCTATAATCAAATATCTTTTAGCAGACAATATTTCAGCTGAAAGATCTCTCTGCCGATATCGATTCAATCTCGACACAATCTTTTCAGTAAATATGTGAGTGCTGACAAACTATTGTTAGCAAAACCAACGCAAGTGTGTGGGTGAATCGCTGAGTGTCCCGGTATGCGTAGTGTTCTAGAAAACAGTTAAAACGTTCCAGGAAGAGCGAATAGGGCGTGTATTGCGCTTCAAAATCTTGTAGCTCTCTTGCCATCTGCCCGAATCTTGGCTTTTAATCCAGAACTTTCTTGTGATGAAAAAAAAATGAATGCAAATTACGAACCCTTGATAAACGGTGACACGGAATGGCATTGTGACGTTATAGTTTCCACCACGACTTAGGGCAATTATTCGCCCATGAAACGTTCGAGCACTAGGTAGTTGCGATTCGAATGTTATGCGGGATGCGTCGAAGAACACTTTCACAAGATCTGACGGTTTACCTTAACATTTCCATTACAGTGCTATATTAAATTCCTCAAAAGGACAAGAAGTCTTGCATTTTTAGAATATAAGCAAATAACGTCGAATTCCGAAGTGATGCACAAGACTCAAAAATGAAGACCTTTTTGTATTCAAAGCACTCAAACCTGGTAATGAATTTTTTCCTGGTAATACCGCAATCGGTGGAGTAGAAGCGAATTCCATATAAATGCCTGTGGGATCTCCTTTATCTACGTACAGTGTCTATAAAAACACGATTTATTACTGAAAAAAACAGAAAAAAGAAAGCAGCTCAAGAGAGGAAACTGCACAAACCTCGAATTCTAATTTTCCATTCAGCAGGTATTGATAGACCGAAAACATCTGAGGCTGTGACCTTTCACCCTGCCTAAAACACGTGAAAATGAGATGCTGCTACTAGAATCAAAGGGGAGCATTACAAGCCGTACGTTGGAATTGAGCAGTACAAATGAGGAGGTCACACTTGACCTGGTGAAAACCTTCTAAATCGGTACTTTTCTCACTTCACGCGCTTATTTCTTGCGCACTATACAGCCCTCACGGATGCGGACTGCCTTTCTGCAAGAATTTCCCCATTTCGGCATAAAGAGATGCCAAATAGTCAGAATGGAACAGCGCAGAGAAAACTGTGTGACACAGCATGTGTGTCACGCGGTGCGTACGTGTTGAACGAAGCAGGATCGCAAACAGCAAGGTTTTTGCGATGGTGTACCCTGGAGGGAAATGTCTCAGTTCCTGCATGTTGAAATGCAAAAGTAAATCCTCCCATTCTTAATTTAGAGAAGTGGAAAAATCAGTCATCTTACCTTAAAAGACCAAAATCCAGTATGTCCTTAGTTGTAAAAACACCTCGCCGTTTATTTATTTCTATCGGAATCGGAAGCACAATTGAGTGTTGCACGCCGTCATTGCTGAAGTTAAAAACAAGTCTGTCATTGGCGTTTTGGTAAAATAATATCGCTTCCCTTCTTCGCCCATCCCCCACCACACTACAATAGAACAATAATTTCCGATTTCTTTTGTTAGACAAATGAGTCTCTATAGAGAGTGCAATTACGCGGGGAAACTTACCCATCATGATCCAGAAGTAATCCTGTGAATCGAACGAAAGCGGTAGTATTCTCCAAGGTGTGACCGACAATGACGGCGCGACAGACTGTTTTAGTTTGAAATGGACGAATATCCTGAAGGAAAACGTGTACTGAAAAATGAGAGACTCCCAAAGCATAGTCGCAATTTTGCTGCATATAGCCAGTTTCCGCCTTTCCCCAGCGCAGTTTCTCACAAAAACGCTAATATACAAAAAATCATAACAAATACGAACCCAATATTGAAGTGGTTCTCCTGCTACTTTCCCGTCTATATCATAGGCCATCTCGACATGCACATTACCACCAGACGATACTACCTGAAGAACTTTCAGATAGGAAAGAACAATGAGTACAACTGATGGCTTAAGTTACCTCCGTAATTCTGAAAGTACTAGTGAATGGATTGTGAAGGACAATATCTTTAGAAATTGTGCCGTTGAACGGCAAACGAGTACCAACGAATGGTGCAATACGATAAGGATTCGAGGAAGAGCGACCAGAAAGCTGAAAAAAAAACTATCTCGACTTAGATAGAAGATTAATTTAAACATATTTATGAAATCGGTAAACAATATTTAATACATTCATTGGCTACAATATCCGTTAATCTTAGAGGGTGCGACGCAATAATGGTTTGCTTGCTTGTTTTCAAGAAGAAAAAACGAGCCATCGGTAACACTATAAACCTGGTCAGCTGGTCCGGTTTGCACGATAGAGGCTGTTCCTAACCGTAAAAGACAATCAAAGTCCAATCCAATAGGATCATAAAGATATATAACAGCCCGTATCGGAAATCGCAAAGTGTTGCGGCTCAAATTAGAAAGAAGTGAGAACCTTAGCATTGTCAGTAAGGAAGAAAGAAACAGATCATAAGAAATAGGACCTTCCTCAATATCTAAAGAAAGCCAGTCCACTTGACGATTAATATTCAGAGCTCTTGCTATCTCTTCACGTCAAATAGAATTGGTGAGGTAGCTCCCAGCAGAGCATCTACATCGGGGCAGACTGATAGACTATCTACCGCGTTGGAATTGTTAGCAATACTCTTTACTATCCCGGCATGAACTTCCGGCCAGATTTTGACCGGAAATTTTCTGCGCGGGTAGCTCAATAATTTGGTTTCCGAGGCAGTTTGAACCCAAGCAAGCTTGGATATCACGTCAGTTTGGCTGGATGCCGCTCCGCACATTCGCTCAAATCGCCGAGTCAAAACAACCGACACACAGAACTTTTGAAAACTTGTTCCCAAGAAAATTTTGGCCTCCTGACTATGAAAATCACACAATATCACCTGATATGAAAACGCTTTGAACGTGCGCTGGGGAAAACCACCTTGTGCCGCTCGCTTTCGTGGCAGGGACGCCAAGCGTTTTCATCCCATATGAAAGTAATAATCGCGTTCAAAGGATCAAACCATCCTTCCCCCCAGGATCAACTTCTGGCTAAATCTAATTCAAGAGAGAAATTTCGATTGAAATCTGTCTGGTTTTACGAAGAGTGAGACAGTAAAGGTAAAACGTGTTCTATCTATGATGATAAAATAGGGAAACCTACTTCATATATGAAGATTCCAACGGAAGTGCGTATGTTAATGGCAACGCTTGTCCGGCCTTCCTCACGAGGAAGAAATACAATCTCGAAAAATGCAGTACCAAGAGGAGCGATTTCCTAGAAATGTGGAGCCTCTCAACGTGAGTTCAAGAAGTTCACTCTATAGACAAGAAAAATGGGTTGATTCCAAGATCTGGGACTTACAACGGTGTTGAAGAACGATATGTGAAAATTCACTGTAGCTCCAGCAATAGAATCTAGTGTAATAGGCTTC